GTAAAATAATCCATGTGACATCAGTGGTTCATCTGCAATTATACGAAGCTACGAGAATACTTTTTGTTTTCGAGAAAAAAAAAAAAAAAACTTTATTCAACAATTCATCTCCTCCGCATCACCCTGTAGCGCCATTTTGGAGTGTATCAGCTGGACTAAACAACGTATGCTGTTCTGTGTCAGCTGCGTCACACCAGATCTGTTTCCTACGTTGTTGTGATTTCATCTGAACGGAAACAGCATATCCGTGTGACGCAGCTGACACAGAACAGCAACGTCCAGCGGATATTCTCCAAAATGGCACCAAGTTGATGCAGAGTAGACGGATTGTTGAATAAAGTCTTTTTTTCTTTTCTTTTGCGCACAAAAAGTATTCTCGTAGTTTCGTATAATTGCGGATGAACCACTGATGTCACATGGATTATTTTACAGATCTCCTTGCTACGTTTCTGGACTTGGGAACATTTCAGTTGCGTTGCTGTCTATGCAGGGTCAGACAGCTCTCAGATTCCATAAAAAATATCTTAATTTGTGTTCCGAAGATGAACGAAGGTCTTACGGGTTTGAAACGACATGAGGGAGAGTAATTAATGACAGAATTTTCATTTTTGAAATTCTGATTCTGAAATTCAGAATTCAAATTTTGACATTCTTTAAATCGTCTGCGATTATGAACACGATTTTGCGTAGCTTGTCAGTGAACTACGGCTCTGTGTAGTAAACGCTGCTCCATCTGAAAGCACGTGCTGGAGATTTACTAATAATCACAGAACCGGCTTTACTGACGAGATACGCATGACAATCGCATTCGATTAATCGTGCAGCCCTAACTTTCATAGAGGGGCTCAAAACCTTTTGTACAATAACACATATAGGGCCTGATTTACTAACAGCTTGCACCAGCGCAAACTGTCTTTTCGCATTAAAACAGTACTGTCAGGATTTACTAAAGACACGCAGTGAAGAATTAGCGCTGAAAAGGCGTGGACAGTTATTTTTGCGCCTGACCTTTGTGAATATGCATTTGTAGGAGTTTCCCTTTCAGAGGCAAAATTTATGGGTGGAGAGTATTAAAATGAATCGCGCAACATGATTTACTATCGTTTGCGCTCATCAAGTTACTGGTATTTGCGCCATTATTTAACACCCAAAAAAATCATGTCTTAAACTATTTTGCGCTTGAAATGGCTGCATTTGTTGTTGGTAGGAGGAGGCACCGCAGAGAACAGGGAGTGCGTAGTAGAAGGAAGAGGATTTTATTTCCATATGTAGCCTATTAATTTATTTGGAATGCCAGAAGAACACATTATCTGAACATATCCTTATGCTAATTTGCGCTGCGCAAATGTGTCTAGCATTGTGTTAATTCATTCTAGCTAAAATGTGTTAAATCATGATAGAAACATGCTATCACTGTGCTAAATCATGCTAGCAACATATGAAAACATGCTAGCAATTTGCTAAATCATGCTAGCAACACATCAACACCTATAAAAATTAACCATTTTTTAATAGTAAAAGTGTAGTAATCATGGTTCTTTGGCAGATTACCATTTGTATAACCATAATTTTACTACTACAGATACCATTGTTAAACTTTGGTTAGTGGAGCAAATGGGGGAAATTGGTTCTCTAGGATTGACCCTGCTGGCTAGTTCCTAGAACTATGTGGTGCAAATTAAAGGCCTTATATATGCTTAAGTTGTGGATATCATCGTTTAACTACAATACCCATGTTTTTTTGTTTTGTTTTTGTAGTAAAATCATGGTTAATTTTTGTAAGGGAAGACATGCTAGCAACATGTTAAATCATGCTAGTAACTTGCTAAAACATGTTAGCAATGTTATAGGATATAAAAATGCTAACAATGTGTTAAAGGGTTAGTTCACCCAAAAATGAAAATTAGTCAATAAATTACTCACCCTCAAGTCATCCTAGGTGTATATGACTTTCTTCTTTCAAACGAATACAGTCGGAGTTATATAAAAAAATTGTCTATGATCTTTCAAGCTGTTTCATGGCACTCAGCGGGTGTTGCATGCATCAGTCCAAAAAAAGTTAAATAAAAAGCGTCCATCCATAAAAAAAAGTGTCTCACACGCCCCTGCGCTTCCGCATACATCACTTCTGAGCGGCGCATGTGCAAAGTCGATCTCATACGCCATCCTCCTGGAGCTGCTTCCGTGTACAACAGTGAGCGCAAGCTACATTAAAGTGATTATTACGTTTTGAATATGGATATTTTTCTTACAAAAACGCATCGATTCGCTACAGAAGGCCTTTGTTCACCCCCGGAGCCGTGTGAGACACTTTTTTTTATGGATGGCCGATTTTTATTTAACTTCTTTTGGACTGATGCATGCAACACCTGCTGAGTGGCATGAAACAGCTTGAAAGATGAAAGACAATTTTTAATATAACTCCGACTGGATTCGTCTGAAAGAAGAAAGTCATGTACACCTAGGATGACTTGAGGTTGAGTCATTTATGGGCTAATTTAAATTTTTGGGTGAACTAACCCTTTAATTCATGCTATCGACATGTTAATAGTGCTAAAAATGTGTTTTTTAACATGTAGCAACATGTTAATTCATCTTAGAAACATTAGCAGTGTGCTAAATCATGCTAGCAACATAATAAATCATGTTAGCAATGTGTTAAATCATGTTAGCAACAGGTTAAAGCTTAACGTGATCTAGATTATTCTAAGCTTAAACTTTAAGCTTCTCAGAATTATTTAAAACTTTCGGACAAGGCTTTGTTAAGCAATCATCAAAGTTTGTAATCACATTTCGGTAATACTAATAATTATTATTTTTATTTTTTTTTTTATTGTTTGTGTTTTAATTTTAGTGTTTTTTTTTTGCCTTAAATGTTGTCTGTTTGTTTTGCTTAGCTTTCTACTGCCCCTTAAATATTACAGTTATTAAATGTGTCTTACTCTAACCTTTCTTCATTGACAGACACACACACACACACACACACACACACACACACAGCATATGTGTGAAGCTTCATTGAGCTTGTGTTGTTGTGATCAGGCACCTGTTAACACCTCATCTCTGCACAGATTCTGATCTGGGCTCTAATGCCCTCAGCAGGTGCCGCTGGCCTGTTTTCTGCCCACACATTAACACGACTCGCAGCTGCCACACCGCACTGGCACACGTCGCACTGTTTGGACAGCTTGCTCACCATCACGCACAGAAAGCTCTCTGATATCAGCTATGCAGATTAATTGAGCGCCTTTTCATTGAATTTTAGTTGGAAGTGTGTGAGATTGTATTGATTTCTATTCTTTGAGGGCTGAGTTACCCTGATCTTCAGCTAATTTTAACAATAAGCATGTAGAACAACTAGCATAGATTTCAGAATCTGTTTAAACAAACCTTTCATTTCCAAGTGCATGAGGAGAATTGAAAGTATTAGTTTCATGTGCTTTCAGATGGAGCAGCATTTACACAGAGCCGTAGTTCACTGACAAGCTACACAAACAGCTTTCATAATCATAATAGACACTGGTCAATTACTCCAACAAGGACCTTAATGATATTGCATTCTAAATACATAAACATTAATATGGAGTTGGTCCCTCATTTGTTGCTATAACAGCGTCCACTCTTCTGAGAAGGCGTTCCACTAGAGTTAGGTAGTTCCCTATGAAATTTTTCAATTTTTCTGGATTCTGTTTTTTCCATTTTAATATTTTTCTATACTGTTTTAATGGTTAAAGTAAATTGTATTCATCAAAAAGCATGTTCAAGTAATTAAAATCTTGAAACTTATACAATTTAACAGTCATTTATTGAAAAAAAGCATCTCTAATTAATTGATTTTATAAAAAAAAAAATTTTTTATTTATTGATTTTTTCTAAAATAATATGTATTTACATTTTTTCTGCTAAATAAATTCTTTTTTTCCTGGTAAATATTCCTTAAAAATTATGTTTTAATAATAATTGTATTATTAGTTGTAGTACTATCATTACATTAAGTAATATGTTTCTGTCACAGTTTCTTCAAGTTAAACCAAACTTTTATTTTGACGGGTTCCTGTGAATACCTTTAATTGGAATAGTCTTTTTGCAACTTAATATTCACATGCACTAGTCCATATCGCGTTTTGATTTAAGTGTACTGACCTACTTTGAATTTATTCATCCAAAATTAGGCAAATTACGTGACATTTCAAAATATATAAATTTAAATAAGTTATAAATGTTGTTTTTGATGACAGGATTCTGCGTTTCTGTCAACATTTTCCACATTGCAGAAATCGTAGAGCCCTTTTTAGGAGTGTTTCTGTGGGAAAGTTTGCCTATTCATCCAATAGAGCATTTGTGAGGTCAGGCATTGATGTTGGATGAGAAGACCTGGCTCACAATCTCTGTTCCAGTTCAGTCCCAAAGGTGTTTGATGGGGTTGAGGTCAGGGCTCTGTGCGGGCCAGTTCAAGTTCTTCCACACCAACCTCATCCAACCATGTTTTTATGAACCTTGCTTTGTTCACTGGGGCCTTGTTTCTCTTCACTGGAAGTAAGGGGCCGAGTCCAACCCCTGAAAAACAGTCCAATAGCATTATCCCTCCTCCAGCAAACTTTACAGCTGGCACAATGCAGTCAGGCAGGTAACATTCTCCTGGCATTCATCAAACCCAGACAGAACAGGTTTCCACTGCTCCAGAGTCCAGTGTCAGTGTACTTTACATAACTCCATCCAGTGCTTTGCATTGTACTTGGTGATGTGAGGCTTGCATGCAGCTGCTCGGCCATGGAAACTCATTCCACGAAGCCCCTGTCACACAGTTTTTGTGCTGATATTATTGCCAAAGGTAGTTTGGATCTCTTCAGCTATAGAATCAGCAGAGCGTTGGTGACTTTTACGCACCATGTGTCTCAGCACTCAGTGACTCAGCTCGGTGACTTTACGTGGTCTTCTGCTTCATGGCTAAATTGCTGCTGTTCCTAAACCTGTCCACTTGCAGTTGACTTTGGAATATCCAGCAGGGATGAAATTTCACAAACTGACTTATTGCAAAGGTGGCATCATGTCACAGTACCATGCTTGAATTCACTGATCTCTTCAAAATGACCCTTCCCCCCCCACACACATTTATAAATGCAGACTGCATGACTAGGTGCTTGAATATATACACCTGTGGTGATGGGTTTGATTGAAACACCTGAACTCAATAATTAAAGGGATAGTTCCCCCCCCAAAGGACACCATTAAATATCATACTTTAAAATGATGCAGTGAAACAGAATGTGGGTTAAAGGGACAGTTCACACAGAAATGAAAATTTACTCATCCTCAAGTTGTTCCAAACCTATAAGACTTTCATTCTTCTTTTGAGCACAAAAGAAGTTGTTTTGGTGACCAAACAGTTGACGGTAGCCATTGACTTCCATAGTATGGGGAAAAAAAATACAATGGAAGTCAATGGCTACCGTCAACTGTTCGATTACCAACATTCTTCAAAATATATTATTTTGTGTTTAACAGAAGAAAGAAGCTCATATATGATTGGAACAACTTGAGGGTGAGTAAATGAGGACTGAATTGTATTTATTTTTTTATTTTTTGGGGGTGAACTGTCCCTTTAAGGGGTATGTCCCATTAATACCTTTTGACACCTTTTGTCCATATAGTGACTGATTAGTGATCTAGAAATATGGTAAAATCTTAAATTTTATACACATAAAGTGACCAAATACATTAGATGTGTGCTCATAGAGATGTACAGAGGCAGTGCTGCTGGCTGAACCATTAATAGAGAGCAAGTCCGCTATCCTTTTTCTGGCGTTTCCATGGTACTGCCCAGGCGACAGGCAAGGATGCAACGACAAGACAGAACAAAGTATTAACACAGGCTAATTACTGCTCTCAGTCTCCACCCTGCTGAACACTCAAATTCAAGCACACACGCACACACACACACGCTGGTGTTGCATCCATATCCAACTTACAGGATGCACCACATATTTACTTGATGGGGTAGTTATCCATGTCATTGCACATTATAGCTTATGGATATCTCAGTTTCAAAAGAATGATGGCCCCTTTGGATTTGCAATAAATGATTCAGAGACTGTTTTTGTTTTCATGTTTTCATGTTTTTGAGAGAATCTTTACAGACTGTAAAGTTTATGCAGAGAAGCTGTTTGAATGAAGCCTAGGTTCTCTCTGGTGTAGGAAACACAGTTGACTTTCCTTCCTCTCTAATGGCTGCAGTGCGTCAGCGTGTTCACAGCGCAATCCTTTGATTTATTGAACCCTTTTTGAAAAGCAGTGCTGGAGATGAGGAGGGTGTTGGCCGTTCTGCTGAGAATAAGTGTGTGGTTTGTATCCCGATGCAACCACATACGCTCCTCTGCTCTTTTCTTCATTTTCATTAAAAGAATCGTTGACCAACATTCAATTTATGTAATCACTTGCTTACTGTCATGCAGCTTCATACCTGCATGATTTGTCCTTCTTTTGTGGAGCACAGAAGTTTAGCAGAATGCTCAAGCTGCTCTTTTCCATACAGTGACCAGGACTGTCAGATCTGGTATTTAGTGTTATTGATACACTATTATAGCATTTATTAATATTTTGAATTAGCTTTTTGAAAGGCTGTATATATTTGATCAAAAATACAGAAAAAAAACTAATTTTGTGAAATATTATTGCAATTTAAAATAACAGTTTTCTATTTTAATATACTTTAAAATATAATTTATTCCTATGAAGCAAAGCTGAATTTTCAGCATCATTACTCCAGTCTTCAGTGTCGCATGATCTTTCAGAAATCATTCTAATATGCTGATTTATATTCAGTGTTGGAAACAGTTGTGCTGCTTGAAGGTGCAGTAGGAGATCTTGGAAAATGCTAACTTTAGCCTGATAGCACTGAAAGCGAATGTCCCACCTCCCTGCAATCGCCGTCCAAAGCCACGCCCCCTGAACACATATACGCTCACAGACCAGAATACCAGAGACAACATTACTACAATAGGCTACATCAGCGGTTCCCAATTCCAGTCGTCCCCCCCCCTGCACATTTCATATATATCTCTTATCACGTGCGACGTTTGTTCTATTCGACCGTAATCGCCCTGCGAAGTGGACATCACCGGATATTCTGCCATCCAGTTCGAAGCGAGCGTATATGTTCCATACAAAGGGCATTAAAATGTGCGAGACGTAAATTTAAATGGTATTTATTTACAGAAGTATATTATGTCACACTTCACACTTCTCTAGTAAGTTTCGTCTGTGTGTGAAGACGCTGCAGGCAGTGG